AGCAACCCGCTCTACCTCCTGAGCCACAGCTGCCCCACATTAACATAGCTGGAATCTGTTCTCTTGATATTTATTCAAACAAAACACAAAATATCAAAATTAAAAAAAACAACAAATGGTAAATGTTTTTTGTATAGCACCTTTTCTAGTTTTTGTGACCACTTAAAGTGCTTTACACTACTTCACATTCACCCATTCATAAACTGATGGCAGAGGCTAAGGTGCCAACTGCACATCAGAATGTAAATTATATTCATTCACATTCACACACTCATGGCTCAGCCACCAGAAGCAATTTGGGGTTCCAAAGAGAAAATTCTCCCACAGAAACAAAAAACAAAACACAGGGAGGTCTGGAAGGGGGCAAGCGTCTAGAGGTAGGAACAGGCATAGAGTTCTTAGGTCCATGGCCAGAGGGCCAGACATGGGACCACAGGTGGGTGGGTCCATGTGAGATGTGAGGAAACTAAGACAGAGAACAGAGGGGCCAGGAGGACGACCTGGAGGTTGGTCCAGGAAACTGATAATCCGGCAACAAGGCAACTAGGCTGGAGACTGTGCTGAAGATGGGCAACAGCGACTGCAGCTCTGGAGGAACCAGGGATGACTGCTGCAGTGTAGTAACAGGGGCTGCAGGTTACTGCCACTCAGCAGAGTCAAGGTGTTGTTGCAATACCGGGTGTTGCGGCAGCAAAACTGAGTCAGAAGGCTGCTGTAGCCCAGCAGAGTTTGCAGGTAGCAACTCAGTAATGACTGTACAGGTCAGGGGGTTGATGAAGCATTGGACTGGGGAATGCTGCAGTTCCGGCACCAAGATCTGCTGTTGCACAAGTGCCAAAGTCAATAGTAGCACTAGAAAAAAGGTTGTTGCATTTCAGGAGGGGCCAGAAGTAAGTGCAGCTCAGGGGAAACCAAAGTTCCCTGCCTTTCAGCAGAGTCAGGGGTTTGTTGCTACATTTCTGGCTCACATAACAGTTGCAACAAAGGGACTAACTCTGACTGGACAACATAATCTCTGGGATGCTAACCAACATAGTCTTAAAGATGCTAAAAGACAGAGAGGAGCACCGATCATGTGTCTCTTGAATGCTAGATGGCTGAATCTTTGGTGGGCTGAAAAGCAATGTCACTGGAAAGCTGGCTAGCTCAGTCTCTGAAGATTGAGCAAATAGAGGCTTTGAAGAGCTAGGCACAGGGTGACAAAGTAAAGGACAAAGTTTGGTAAGCTGGCTATGTAATTTCCTGAGGATCCAGGTAACAAAGTCTCTGAAGCACTAGCCAGTTGAAACTCTGTAGAACTTTGGAACAAAGTCTCTGGGTTACTGGACAGCTGAGTAGCAGTTTAGCTGCTCAGCAAAATTTCAGGAACACTGACCAGCTTGATCTCTGGGGCACTCACCGGCTGAGTCTCTGGATTGCTGAGCTGCTACGTCTGTGACGCAGGGCAGCACTGTCTCTGCAATGGTGGGCAGCTTTGTGTCTGCGAATGCTGGGCAGTGAGACCTCCGCAGCACTGGACATTGGCGAGGAAGAGGAGTTGGGCAGTGATGAGAATGATGAATGCCTTTATAACAAGAGAATGGAGGATGAGGGCTGCATTGTGGAACTGGTCTGCTGTTCTGAGCTTGTAAGCACATGAAACTGCTTAAACTAAGGTAATCCATGAACTGTAGACGAGGTAGGCCTATAGCTCAACACAACCAGGGAGTGGAGAAGGCACGTGCATGAGAGATGATTTAATTTCTCCTTGCAAATGTCTTATCAAGTTCTTACTATGGTAGTCTGGATTGGGACAACCATGACTCTCCAGCTTCTTTATAAAGATGCTGCATAGGAATATCAGCAGCAACCTCTTTGCGATCAATTCTATTCCAAAAACGTAATCCTTTACCGCTCTATAGTAATCCTGATGTGCTGCAATCTTCTGCAGGCTGTCAATGCATAGGCATTTAGATGGCCGTGGGCTTTGGGCCCTAAGACATCAAAACCATATAGGGACATATTGCACGGTCCTGAGGAACACTTCCAAAAACCAGTGTCTGTGAACACTGTTTCTTGCTGCATCCACAAATGCAAGCTGGAACTCTACCATGAAAACAGGAAACCGTATATAAACCAGAACCAGAAATGCTGCTGACTTCTGAGGGGCCAAGCTCATTTAAGATGAGGAAAAGTGGAAAACTGGCCTGTGGTCTAGTCCAAATATGAAATAATGGACCTTGTATACTCTAGACTAAAGGAGAGGGCCATTCAGTTTGTTATCAGTGCCTGGTGTAAAAGCCAGCATCAGTGGTATCGGGGTGCATTAGTGCACATGACACGGGTAACCTGCACATCTATGAAGGCACCATTAATGCTAAACGATACAGGTGCTGGTCATATAATTAGAATATCATCAAATATTTGATTTATTTCAGTAATTCCATTCAAAAAGTGAAACTTGGATATTATATTCATTCATTCATTACACACAAACTGATATATTTCAAATGTTTATTTCATTTAATTGTGATGATTAAAACTGACAACTAATGAAAATCCAAATTCAGTATCTCCAAAAATTAGAATATTACTTAAGACCAATACAAAAAAAGGATTTTTAGAAATGTCAGCCAACTGAAAAGTATGAACATGAAAAGTATGAGCATGTACAGCACTCAATACTTAGTTGGGGCTCCTTTTACCTGAATTACTGCAGCAATGCGGCGTGGCATGGAGTCGATCAGTCTGTGGCACTGCTCAGGTGTTATGAGAGCCCAGGTTGCTCTGATAGTGGCCTTCAGCTCTTCTGCATTGTTGGGTCTGGCGTATCGCATCTTCCTCTCCACAATACCCCATAGATTTTCTATAGGGTTAAGGTCAGGCGAGTTTGCTGGCCAATTAAGAACAGGGATACCATGGTCCTTAAACCAGGTACTGGTAGCTTTGGCACTGTGTGCAGGTGTCAAGTCCTGTTGGAAAATGAAATCTGCATCTCCATAAAGTTGGTCAGCAGCAGGAAGCATGAAGTGCTCTAAAACTTCCTGGTAGACGGCTGCGTTGACCTTGGACCTCAGAAAACACAGTGGACCAACACCAGCAGATGACATGGCACCCCAAACCATCACTGACTGTGGAAACTTTATACTGGACTTCAAGCAATGTGGGTTCTGTGCCTCTCCTCTCTTCCTCCAGACTCTGGGACCTTGATTTCCAAAGGAAATGCCAAATTTACTTTCATCAGAGAACATAACTTTGGACCACTCAGCAGCAGTCCAGTCCTTTTTGTCTTTAGCCCAGGCGAGACGCTTCTGACTGCTGTGTCTTGTTCAAGAGTGGCTTGACGCAAGGAATGCGACAGCTGAAACCCATGTCTTGCATACGTCTGTGCGTGGTGGTTCTCGAAGCACTGACTCCAGCTGGAGTCCACTCTTTTCACAATCCTCTCCAGGGGCGGTTATCCCTATTGCTTGTACACTTTTTTCTACCACATCTTTTCCTTCCCTTCGCCTCTCTAAAATGTACAGCCAGCCTCTTCAGCAATGACCTTTTGTGTCTTGCCCTCCTTGTGCAAGGTGTCAATGGTCGTCTTTTGGACAGCTTTTTAGGGACAGCCTTGCGTATTTCAGCAGGACAATGCCAAACCACATTCTGCACATATTACAACAGCATGGCTCCGTAGTAAAAGAGTCTGGGTGCCAAACTGGTATCTGCAACCCCTACTCGTCACCCATTGAAAATGTTTGTCGCATTATGAAATATTAAATACGACAAGGAGACCCCGAACTGTTGAGCAGCTGAAATCTTATTTCAGACAAGAATGGTAAACATTCCACTTAACAGCAGTTGGTCTCAGTTCAAAGATGCTTAGAGTGTTGCTAAACGATGAGGTGATATAACGGAGTGGTAAACATGACCCTGTCCCTACTTTTCCGAAAATGTTAATTTGCTGGTGATATCAAGTTTGCACACGTTTTTACTCACGCAAACCTTTTCTAAATTAGGCCCTGTATTGGCACTTAGTACTTAAGGACTCAGATCAGGATTGGTAGTGAAATAACATGACTAGGAAATCCTTCAACACACACAGTTTCATGCTTTCCAGGAGTCATTTTGTTGCAGATCTCAACTTGCTTCAAGCCGCTTATATCATAGCAACTCACAAAGGAGGAGATCAGGAAAGCAGGAATTCCAGAGAAGGCACTGACTGATCAAAATGAGCCTTTATGTAGAATATGATGTGGTCAAAAACTGATTTCTTTATGTTCACTCCTCTCCGACATGTCCAGTGCTGTACTGATTAAAAACTTTAGTCTGCTATTACATTACTGTACAAACAACAACTAAGGGAGTCTTGTGCATGTTACCATGAAGGAGGGAAAAAACAAGTTGTTTGATGCTTCCGGCGCATATTCCAGTGCAATGTTTATAATTTTTTTTGTTTTATTTTTGTTAATTAGTGACTTCAATGCATTTTTTCGATGGAAGTTTGCATTTTAGTCATTAACATGATAGGCAAAAATAGGGCATGCACGTTTGACCTTTGGAGACCTACGCAGTGTAATGTTGCTACTGTTCTCTATTTTTGAACAACCTATTCATGGGCCAACAGTACATTTACAAATTACAAATATGTATTTCTTGGTTGAGCAGGAACAGCAACAACATGATGAATATGCTTGTATGATGTCCACATTGTGGCTCACAAGACTGGGGGATGTTAAAACAAAAAATGTATGTATAAAAGAATCTATCCGACAGCTTTCTCAACTGCAACTCTCAGATGGCTCAGGGAACACACCAGTTGATACAGTAAACTGCAAGGCAGGAGTTTGCAGTCTTTTGGGAGCAAACTATTGTATGCCACTCCCATCTAGTTGCCCAAGTTACTCCTTAATGCTTCTGTTTAAAGTGATTACATTAATTCAAACATTTATATCCTACTAACTAGCTCTTCCATATGCTCTTTCGTTCATTAAATTATTATTGTTTTCCTGTTTGCGCGTCATGTGTTAGCATACCTCTGACGGAGGAACTGGCCGACCATGGAGGAATGGTGTTGCGTCTCTGGTAGAAGAGGATGTAGGCTCCTCTGGTACATACTTCTTCCTCTGGCACCAGGTCTACGCTGCTGTCATCGTAGCTATACCACTGTCCATCCACTGAGTTCCTACAGTAAGCTGGATTATAAAATGACAACAAGCATAAACAACGGACACTTACCTAACTTACTTACACTCACATCAAGTCAAGCAAAACTTAAAGGATATGGCTGTTATTTATTTTTTTTAATCAGCAGAAATCCTGTGCAACCAGCAATTAACCGTTTTAATGTTTTTGTAGCTGCAGCATCATATAGCTGTGCTGTAGAACTATATTAAAAACACATAAAAGAGCTATGCCTTTGAAAGTGGATGGCATTTTCCTTAATTGCAATGACTGTGGTTAGTTTATTTCAGCTTGTTGAACTAGCAACGCCATGTAACCAAAGACTCGCTGCCAGGTCATTAATACTGCAGCTCTCTCATAAACTACACCAGCTGAGTGCTGATTGCACTGAAGGAATGTGTGGCTCAAGTACAAAAGTATGTGTAGGTGTTTATGTGATGTTTAATTGGTTTTGGATGGCAGTTCTGCTGCATGGAGGAATAAGTAAGTACTTAATCCACTTTATATAAAAAAAACAACACAAACTGTAAAAAGATTGTGGTCCTTAGATGATAACCCACTATCTTGCAGGTAACAACAGACATCGTAATCTCTATATGTAACTTTTATTTTTGGTGAATGATGCATCACCCCTGTGTGTCCAGAGCATGACGCACAAACTTCCTGCTGTCCCCCATTCTCCTTCATAGTCAGTGCTGTGAGTGTCTTCACCAACCATCCCCTGCAATTAATACACACCTGGGGCCTCTTGTATAAAAGACTTTGCAGCTTTTGTACTGAAAGATGGTGTACTCACAGAATCTGAAAAGTATGTACGTACAGAAATATCCACATGCAAAAACCAGGCATACGCCAGGTCCTGCGCCCTTTCCTTTATACATCCCAATCAACGTCAAACTGAGTGCACATGCACAAGCCACATACCCCGCCTTGGCTCCTCCCATAAATTACTATGCAAATGACCATAAATACGCCAACATCACCTCTAAAGGTCCAAATAACAATGGCCGATCTTACTGCAAATCACGTGAATAAGAAAAATTAGATCGAGGTGCTGATCACGTGGAGAAGAGAGGAACTATTTCATTTGATGATTTCAACTCTTGAATCAGCATCAAACGCAAAACGAGTGTCACAATGACTGGCAATGCAGCTGGCTCAGAGACTCATAATGGCTGAAATAAAATAAAAAAACATGGTGTAATGGACATGGATATAAAGTGGATGTTAAAAAAGACGGCAGGAGGAGTTTTTTCTGAGACAGAAATTGAGGTGTTTGTGGGAGTTAGAAAGCACATTGTTTGATGAAGCTTGTTCACAAACAAGATAATTCTGTGAGTTTAACATAATTATATTATTCACAAAAGGGGCTTTAGATAAAATAGCAAACATTATATATTTTGATCACATCAAACGCACACCTGTCGGGTATCGGCTGCTAACAGCCAGCTGCCAGGTTATAGCCTACTTGTACTTGTACCAGGATGACACGGTTCCGTCAGGTTGATCTGTCTAATGCTGGACCCAGTTCAGCACACAGATCCAAGAGCACAACTTTAGGGAATCTAAATCGACGTATTAGCCATCATCACGGGCCAGGAAATCTTCATGGTCCCTCATGGACACTCTCTAATTCTTCCACTGTCCTCTGCAGTGCCATAGCGCAGCCATGCAGCATTACGCACAAGTGCCAAGAATAATTCATATGTTTACAGCAATCATATAGAGTACTTCACACCTCAGCAAAATGATCGCATCACAACTGACCATGAGTATCCGTGGCATAGACTCTGGCCCTCTGCTCTGCGTTCCAGGGGGCTGATGAAATATTTAGTGGACACTGATTTGAGATTTGAGTTGGCACTTATGGACTTATATCCATAAGTGCTTATATCTTTTACAATTGAAAGCTGCAATATAGAATAGTTATACAACTGTTGGTTTGAATGTTTAAATAATAAAGTGATGACATGTGATATGAAGTAAAATTAAATATGTGAGAGCCATTATTATCTATTCCTCTCACATGAAATTTTATTTTAATATTAAACATCCACATACATCATCAAACTTTTATTGTGTATCATAGACATAATTAGGTTTTTCATAGACTATTTTATTGACATATGCACAGTAACTGGAATAGAAACGTTATTTTGAAACATTTGGTGAGTTTTGGTACTTCAGAGTTTACTTTACTGACAGAGCCAGACAAAAGTTTGCGGAGCGTCTGTACCTTCTCATCACACGTGTGAGCGTACTTAACCTTTCTGGCAGTAGGCAGCGTTTATACATGAGGCCCCTGGTGTTTCCTCATGCTGTGTGTCAAGTTCCCCATACTGGAAGAAACCCAAACTTATCACAGTATATACACAGTATATACAGGACAGTGTGTCTCCCAAAAGCTGAAGGAATGTAATACTAGACTAGAAAAGGAAATGACTTTGGCAGTAAGAGGTTTACTCCTTCATCCTATTCAACGAAATATATATTTAATTCACATATGAATACAATTCAGGTAGGATCTCTATGAATAGTTTCTGGTATACAGTGGGTACGGAAAGTATTCAGACCCCTTTAAATTTTTCACTCTTTGTTTCATTGCAGCCATTTTCCAAAAATCAAAAAAGTTCATTTTATTTCTCAGTAATGTACACTCAGCACCCCATCTTGACAGAAAAAAAACAGAAATGTAGAAATTTTTGCAAATTTATTAAAAAAGAAAAACTGAAATATCACATGGTCAAAGTATTCAGACCCTTTGCCGTGACACTCATATTTAACTCAGGTGCTGTCTGTTTCTTCTGATCATCCTTGAGATGGTTCTACACCTTCATTTGAGTCCAGCTGTGTTTGATTATACTGATTGGACTTGATTAGGAAAGCCACACACCTGTCTATATAAGACCTTACAGCTCACAGTGCATGTCAGAGCAAATGAGAATCATGAGGTCAAAGGAACTGCCTGAAGAGCTCAGAGACAGAATTGTGGCAAGGCACAGATCTGGCCAAGGTTACAAAAAAATTTCTGCTGCACTTAAGGTTCCTAAGAGCACAGTGGCCTCCATAATCCTCAAATGGAAGACGTTTGGGACGACCAGAACCCTTCCTAGAGCTGGCCGTCCGGCCAAACTGAGCTATCGGGGGAGAAGAGCCTTGGTGAGAGAGGTAAAGAAGAACCCAAAGGTCACTGTGGCTGAGCTCCAGAGATGCAGTCGGGAGATGGGAGAAAGTTGTAGTAAGTCAACCATCACTGCAGCAATCCACCAGTTGGGGCTTTATGGCAGAGTGGCCCGACGGAAGCCTCTCCTCAGTGCAAGACACATGAAAGCCCGCATGGAGTTTGCTAAAAAACACCTGAAGGACTCCAAGATGGTGATAAATAAGATCCTCTGGTCTGATGAGACCAAGATAGAACTTTTTGGCCTTAATTCTAAGCGGTATGTGTGGAGAAAACCAGGCACTGCTCATCACCTGTCCAATACAGTCTCAACAGTGAAGCACGGTGGTGGCAGCATCATGCTGTGGGGGTGTTTTTCAGCTGCAGGGACAGGACGACTGGTTGCAATCGAGGGAAAGATGAATGCGGCCAAGTACAGGGATATCCTGGACGAAAACCTTTTCCAGAGTGCTCTGGACCTCAGACTGGGCCGAAGGTTTACCTTCCAACAAGACAATGAGCCTAAGCACACCGCTAAAATAACGAAGGAGTGGCTTCACAACAACTCCGTGGCTGTTCTTGAATGGCCCAGCCAGAGCCCTGACTTAAACCCAATTGAGCGTCTCTGGAGAGACCTGAAAATGGCTGTCCACCAACGTTTACCATCCAACCTGACAGAACTGGAGAGGATCTGCAAGGAGGAATGGCAGAGGATACCCAAATCCAGATGTGAAAAACTTGTTGCATCTTTCCCAAAACGACTCATGGCTGTATTAGATCAAAAGGGTGCTTCTACTAAATACTGAGCAAAGGGTCTGAATACTTATGACCATGTGATATTTCAGTTTTTCTTTTTTAATAAATTTGCAAAAATTTCTACATTTCTGTTTTTTTTCTGTCAAGATGGGGTGCTGAGTGTACATTACTGAGAAATAAAATGAACTTTTTTGATTTTTGGAAAATGGCTGCAATGAAACAAAGAGTGAAAAATTTAAAGGGGTCTGAATACTTTCCGTACCCACTGTATACAGATAATTTTAGAAACTATCATTTATAATATTTCTTATTAATTCTCACAGAAATTTCAGTTAATTTCAATGTGCTATACAAAGTTTGTCCCTGAACTCTGTATTTATTCTATTCTCTTCCTCCAGCATCCTCAATGTGTGCTTTACTGATTTTACATTTTATATATATATATATATATATATATATATATATATATATATATATAAATAAATAGTTGAAGATTCGATGCTTCGATGGGCAGAGCCTGATTCGATTGTCAATCTCACAGTCAAAGCCTAGTACAATATACATTTTAACCATTAATGCTGTAAATAAACATGTAAAAAACTTCCAATAAATGTTTTTAAAGTGCGTGCATAAATCCAAAATTGTAACCCTAACCCTGGGGCGTCAGTGCATATGTGTAGGCCTAGGCTAGTGTGTACGCGGGACTTTCGGATAATTTATCACCGTTGATGAACCACACAAAGATTATTATATTGTTTTATACCGGCTACTTGAAATAGACCCGCGAGGAACCGCGACGTGTATGTAGTCTGCACTCTGCACAACACCGGTGAATGGCAGCCGAGAGAGAGAGAGAGAGAGAGAGAGAGAGAGAGAGAGAGAGAGAGAGAGAGAGAGAGAGAGAGAGAGAGAGAGAGAGAGAGAGAGAGAGAGAGAGAGAGAGAGAGAGAGAGAGAGAGAATGGTCAACAATAAGCCTCAGTTTAGCTTCGGCTCGCAATCGTCATGCACAAACCCACACATGATTCCACAATCAGTCGACTATAGGCAGGACTTGACGATTCTGATTTGACTATGTAAATCCTTAGTCGGGGACAGCCCTAATATATATATATTAAAAAAATAAAAAAAATAAAAATATATATATTTTCTTTTTTTTTTATGGTTTACTGGTTGTAACTGTAATTCTGTATGGCTGCTCCTTAAACACTATGTGAGGGTGAGCAAAGGGAAGACCTCATTAACCAAGTGTGTTCCAGTGTTGTCTGAAAACCATCCACACAATGGTTGCTTAATGTCTTAAATTGCCTTGGCACTAGATTACTGGAATTACATCACACAAGTAGGGATTTACTTGCTACTGGTGAGGACACAGGGAGGTATAAGACTTTACAGAGCCAAATACTAGAGGTCATTAGAAACTGGTCAAAGAGTTGAATCCAAATGGACACTTTTATACTTTGAAAGCCTTTTATTTGTGCTTAAATACTATGTATTTCCTCTAGTTTACTCCTGCAAGTGAATCATGTAGTGGGACAGAACAACACTTATTATTCAGTTGGCATGTTTGCATAATGAAAGAGAATTGGTCCTTTACAGCCTTTATACACTCAAGCAGGATCTTTAATGGGTCCTAAGACTGAAGTTAGGCAGTGAACAAACGAAAAATACTTTTTTAAATAAAGTTTTAATAGATCTCCCCTACATTTATTAACACCTCATTAGAATACAGCACTCACTGAAAATACCCAAAGTTACTAAATAATATATAAAGTATTGTGACTGTTATGTTTCCTGTAAGCTAACCAACACTGGCTGCCACAGTGAGATTCTGTATAATGACTGAATGATGTGACTAAATAACTGAATGGACAAGTAAGGGATTGGCTCAAATGCTGCAATGCTGTTAAACTACTTGTGATGACAAGGTTGTTTATCATATTTGTGATTTTAAGCTTTGATGTCAACAAAGTCCCAACAAAGAGAAGCTTCAATGTCATGGATCTTAAAAGAGTATTCTCCTCTTACATAGTTGGAGTAAGTTTTAAATAAAAGGTGAGTTACAGCCGATCAAATACACTGCCCTTTCATAAGTTTTACTAGAGGCATCAACAGAGCGGCCAAAATAATAGCAAGTATGTTTTCCTCTACTTCACATTGGTTTTGTTATTGATGTGTGCAGGACTGCACTGCTCATCACAACTGAACTCAACTGTTGTCTACCTTGCTGACTTTGTGTACTTTGTGTAATTCTACTGTTATAGTCTGGATGTGCTAGAGAGGAGTTGACATCTCCATTCAAAACAAATAATGCAGACAGCAAATATGTGCAGAATATTGTTATATTGTACATCATTAACGCACTAGGAAATAATGAAATTATAGACTGGAACTAAAATCTTCCATAAAAACCCAGAATGGCTAAAAATAATAATGTTCCATCTAAAATACTTTGAGGATACGTGTTAAAATGCTTGTGTGATATAGTCGATGGTACAAAGTAGTCAATATGTATTGAATGGTATGACATGAAGGAAAGTAAAGAAATGCTCATATTTATAAAGGTGTATTCACTAAATGTTTTTAGCTGATAAATGATCAATTTGTTTAACACATGTATATTGGTTTGACTATGTTGCAAAGAAAACCCTTAACAGTTGTCATGTAGTAAATATTGAATAATACCACCCAGTTCCATACCAGTATAATGTCCTCCATGCATTCCTCCATGATGGTTACACACAGCGTAGAGGTCGTACAGATATTCGTGGGGGAGGATCATGTCGGCAGGTTGGAGGTGTTGGCCTGAAGGCTGCTTCAAGGTAGGTGGCCAGGCCCCAGAGTTCAGGTTCTTCATACTCTGACTCCTCTTTACTACATGAGGGGCCATGTCCAAACCAGTCAGGGGGAAGCGCACCAGGGTTGACAGCTTGTTCCTCCGCTCACCTACCTATTTCAACATTTCTTATTCATATGTACAGTACATACATGTGCAGGTATGAAAAATAACACATATTTTCATGTAAAAACCTATGAGGAGTGGATCTAACAGATATAAATTCCACACTAGCTATGAAATTAATTTATTAAAAAGCTATTACAATTTCATAAAGCACTGTCAGTGATGTCCCAGCAGGATTTTTGCATTTGCATATAAAACATAAAAACACCTGCTTGTGGCTTTCCAAATCTTGGGTGTGATTAGAAGTGACCAGACATGTATGAATGTTTGAAGCCACTAAGAAAAGTGCAGTAGCAGTTTTCAGCATAATGTGATTCATTTTCCTTTCAAATTATTTTCACTATTGAAGACCCAGTGCCCGTCCTGGGATTAGCACCTTATCATAATGGAGAGGGTCTGCATACTCCCACAACCTTAGAAACTGTGTTGTGCAGATCATTGGCATATGCCATCCAAAACTGGTCCTTAGCACAGAGACCAACAGAGTGACTGACTGTATACTAATGCGTATGTCAAGACGTTTGGGATGGGACCTTACAGGCAAGTGCCTGTTGGGATTGGCTGGCGTTTGACCCATGTGGCCTGACTGGACTGGTGATCAAAATTGTGACACCTGCTTATGAGACTACCATCAAGCACTGGACAAAGTGGAGGCATAGCTAGCACAAATGGCACCCCTCTAACTCTACATGGATTAAACACGGATCAGAAAGTATGGCATGTTTTAAATAAAGAATACATTTTCTATTAAACAGTATGCATAATGCAGGCCACAATATATTAAACAGAACATGGAATGCCCTTGCATGCAGCAGAGGAGAAAAATATGGCCAAACATCTACGCAACATACTGTAAAGCTACATTAGCTTCAGCTTACCATAGTCAGTATTTAATTTATGAGAGTGTTTAACAACTACGAACTCCAAGAAATCTGATGTAAGGTGATAGTTTTATGAAGGCACAAATATGCTCTTTGAGGTATGTTCTGTGCTATTATTGCAGAAACTGCTCATCACTCCTTCCTTTTACTGCATAAAAGCACATATTCTTATCAATGAAACACAGAACCACACACTATCACTCCCCAGTAAGAAAAACAAACAGACCGCAGACGTGAGCCTATTTCATTTGTTCTACTTAAGAACAAACCATATTCAGTATTTATCTTTATCCTGCATACAGCGCCTATTCCAACTCAGTTTCTAGTCTAACTCGATTAATGTCTCCAACATCATTAATAAGCTTGTCAGCCCTTGTCACCAGGTAACTCAAATTATTCAAATTTTTGTTTGAGGTGCCTGGTGTGTCAGAAACAATGCTGGAAGAGACCAGGCAATAAAGCAATCCAGCCTTCCTACCTCAGATGCTACATATGACCATTTAATGATGGATTTCATTGAACTGTCAACATGTCAATCAATCACACTTTATGTGTATAGCACCTTTTGTATAATATACAGTAGCAAGTCTCTGACCTTGACATTGTGTTATTTATTTATATGATTCTAATTATTAATTATAAAATTATAATTAAATAAATAAATTCAATAAATAAAATTATTAAGAAGTTACAAGTCTGTTTAGTGATTTGAATACTAATAAAAGTATCTTAAAATCTATTCTAAAACTGACTGGCAAGAGGCAACCAATGAAGGGACCTAAGAAAGGTTGAGATGTGTGCTCATCTAGTCTCGGTCAATAACTGCAGCTATGTAAGTGATTTGTAGCTTATTTATGGACTTCTTGGGTAGACCAAAGAAGATAATGTTGCAATAGTGTTGAATTGCTTTCATTCTCAAATCATTTAAAACTTTAACTAGAGCTGTTTCAGTGCAATGAAAGGGTTGAAAGCCAAATGATAAACCTTTCTCTGCTGACAGGGATTGAGATTTATCATCTAAAGCACTTCAGCCTCAAGACAATTAAACACAATCTTACATACGCAGGTGGGGATGGGATCAAGTGAACAAGTAGAGGGTTTTAGTTTCATAACTATGTTCCTAAGCATTCCTCAGCACAATCAGACATGGTAGATTTAGGATGAGGAAAAATGTCCATAGATAATTGCATAGGATCATTTGGTGTTGCATGCTATAGATTAATTCTGATGCAAATTATCTTGAAAAGGGCAGTAAACTCTTCATATTGTCATGTGGAGGTGATGAAAGCCTGGCTTTTTAGGGCTGTGTTAACATCTGTTTTAATGGTTGAAAAAAGTATTCTGGGATTAGTGTAACTGTAAAGGATACAGGATTCATGGAGATCTGAAAAGCTGAAGCAAGCAGCAAAAGTGCTACTGAGAGAAATCAATCCTAGATGGGGAATTCCTAGAAAGCTAACCTGTCATAATGGCACATTGGGTCTGTGTCTGTAATGACAGCAGTAAGCAGGCTGTAGGAGTTACTGAATGTACTGCTAATTTGTCAGGTTTCAGTGTAACACCCTGACACACCTTACGATTTCAGGCACACCAAACGTAGCTGCTGAGTTAATCACCCACATTATGATAAAATACAGCATACATAATGTTAATTGACACAAAAGAAAGAAGTGAATGCCGGCATAAATAGCAGCAATATTATTAGAGGCTCAGGCTAGTTCAGTCTGTGGGGACTGCGTATCTGACATCTCTCCATACATTAATGTATCCCCTGTCTTCTTCTAAATCACACACGGCAGCAGTGGGAATGGTGAATTGATTATATAGCACTTTCTACTCTTCCAACCACTCAAACCACTTTACAGTACAAGCCAAGTGGCTGCTATGAAAGGTGCCGACTGCTCATCAGTGGAACTAACATACAACCTCACACATTGATGACATGCCATTGGGAGCAATTTGGACACAAAGACACTTCGACATACAGGATGCTTTACCTCCTGAGGCACAGCCACCCCTTGAGCCACTGCAACCACTATATGTGGATGTTCATGATGTCAGGCATATGTGGGGATACTATCCCCTGTGAATGCTACTGTGTTGGAGTTTGTCACAGGGAATGTAACTGTACCAAAATGTAACTGTATGTGGCTGTGTGTAGTAGACAGAAGGCTCTTATTGTTTTTGCTGCTTGTGAATCACAGAGCAGTTTGTAGTTTAGGGCTTTTTGCACAGCAGACATGTTGATTTGTCATAGTACGAAAAGCACAGGTCTTACTAACAACATTAACAATGGCTTTGTTCTATCCAGGTGTCCCATTAAGCCATGACAGAGTGACAGTCAGCATGCACACTACCAGGACCTGACAGTGAAGAAGCTTTATGGAATTCATTTTATTATTTACACCTGTGCTTTTCCTACTGTGACTTGTCAAATGTCTTATCGGAAGAAAGCATTCTTGTGACTCTAAGTGTGTCCGAATTTCATACCACATGGTAATCTACAATATGTGTTCTAGCATCCTGCTAGCGCTCTGTGAAACTGTAGTGAAGCAAAATATTTTGATTTCATATACACCAGCCTGGCAACATGCCCATAATGACAATGCTAAAATGCTTGAGTATGTGTGTAATATTAACCATGTTCACCTTTTTAGTTTGGTGTGTTAGCATGCTAACATTGTCTAATTTGCGCTAAACACAAGATATGACTGAGGCTGATGGGAATGTCATTAGCCTTGAAGGTGTTTGGTCATAAACCAAAGCACTGGACAAATTAAATATTTTACCTGATGATGGTGCTTGATGAAAAGTCAGAGGATCACCAAAATTATTACAATTCATTCAATATTGTTCAGTTAGATGTCAGAGATGTCAATAGATCCCAAAAGTCCATCCATCCATCCATCGTCAACTGCTTATCCTGCATACAGGGTCGCGGGGGCTGGAGCCAATCCCAGCTGACATCGGGCGAAAGACGGGGTGCACCCTGGACAGGTCGCCACTCCATCGCAGGGCCACACATAGACAAACAACCAGTCACACGCACCCCTAAGGACAATTTGGAGTCCCCAATTAACCTACGTCTTTGGACGGTGGGAGGAAGCCGGAGCACCCAGAGAGAACCCATGCAGATGCGGCGAGAACATGCAAACTCCACACAGAAAGTCCTGGGAAAACCAAGGCTCGAACCCACGACTTTCTTGCTGTGAGGCGACACTGCACCGCCCATCCCAAAAGTCATTAGCATTTATTCTCTGGAAACCATGAATATGTGTACAAATGGTTCACTAACATCATCAACAAATCTGTATATTTTACTTTTATTATACTACCATGATGCCAACATATCAATTAAATATTTCTCAAAAGATTCCATAGCTGGATCCTCCTGGAGCGGCTTCACCATAATCTGAAGTTTAGTAAATGTTTTCAGATGCATATAGCTCTTCTTATTCCTTTATGCATTGCAGTGTACATTAACATCACACTAAATGACTGTATTTTATGTGCACATTGACTTTTTTAACTTTATAACTTTTCAAGTGTGAATAAGTTACCTGCTCAAAATTTGTCTCCTGAACATAACCATTAAGCCCTCTGTGGAAGATGCAGAACAGTGAGATGTATTTCAAGTGTGTGTCTTGTGGGGGAAGCAGCAGTGCCGCAAGTAATTTTTAATACTACTAGGAGTACTAGCGTTTATTCATCTTCCTGCAGTGTGGTAGGAGCTCTCTCTACCCAATGATGTTAATCAGCAGAATGTTTCCACCCATGCCGACTATAAAGTCATCAACGTTCGTTAGGGTTTGTGGTTAGAAAGCAGCCCAGCGTTTAGTCTGTACAGCACCTTCTCATTCTTCTCAGTTGTGTTCTGCCATTCAATAAACTGTCAGAATGCATACAACACTATTTAGTCTATGTGTGCTCCCACAGCTCTACGCAAAGAAAAACTTGTTACCGGTGGAGACAGAGGATATGTGGGACTCTTGACTTTCCAATCTTCCCAGCTGAGGGCACTGTTAAAATGGTTTGCAGTAGCAAGATGCTATGGGTGGTTGAGATTCATCCGTTAATGCTAGAAAGTGTGGGGTGGTGATGGAGCAGTGGATAAGACGCCTGCCTTTGGTGTGAGAGACCTGAGCTCAATTCCCCTCTGTGACACATCTAAGCATTTAACCTCCAGAGGCGTGTGACCTCTGACATATTGTAATTTGCAATTGTAAGTCACTTTGGATAAAAGCGTCAGCTAAATGAATAAATGTAATGTAAAATTGTGCTCCAATTCCAAAACTGACGTGCCGTGTTCTAGCATCTTGTGGGGCGTGGGTGTTATCACTGACCCTTGTGAGGGCCAATATTCCATGCTCTGGACTTCATTAAGGTCATCTTAAGGCTAAAAGCAGACAGAGCACAGAAAAATGACTTTGCCATGCAGAATAACAATGTATTAACTACTCTTATGTTTAGTTAACAACATTAGAAGAATGTGAAGCTTGATGTTGTCATGCTGATGCTGACAAAGAACGATAGAGACTCTGTTAACAGGAACTGTGGACACTCATGCATGTAATCTGGACGCCAAAGGTTTACTCTTTGAGGAGATAAGTATTAGTAAAACAGCTGAATTTATACATGTCTAACAAGAAAATCAATGTAAGATTAAATTGCTCTCTGCAAAGGATATACCCACAGAGTTGGTGTGTATGCCTGGGAAGGGGGCTGTTTCCTAACTCCTCTTCTAGATTTCTCTCAGGGACAGAAAGGGAACACACATCCCTGAGAAACTAGCGACATGGACTGTTTTTATTTTTCTCATTAAAAGGAGGTGTATGCGATTCTAATCCAATACACATCACATGAATATATCCTCAGGGTCCCCTGGCTGTCTGCTGTGTGTGTGGGCAAAAAAAAAATCCAGTGTTTGTTCACAGTCCTGGCTCTGTAAATGGTAAACAAAGTGTCTCGAACAGAGCTATACAAGTACAGTATTCCTGCTATGATTTGTGTGTCAAATATTCTACTTGCCCACAGACATTGAGCTTACTTTCTAGTTTGCCAAGACATGCTGTTGTTGTGATGTTAGCTATAACAGGAGAGTTGTGAGTGTCGCTGTCTGGAGCTGGTTAACTGGCTCTGGGAGCGTCTTGTCCTCTCTGCATGTTAGATTCGCAGCAGCAACTGTAGTGACAGGCTGCTAACCCACAACCTAGCTATTTTTAGTTACCTTACTTGCTGTGTTGTTGCAGCTTTCAGACAGAGGATGAACTGAGGGGCTGCATAAAGTGACAACAAATGCCCTGTAGACTAGCTGAGTTCATGAAGCTGCAACACAGGAGCTGCAGAACTTGCTGAAGGACAGCTTCCTTCCAACTTTGAAGAAAAATGTCCGCCTGTCCGCAGGTGAAACTGTATTACACCTGTTAATGCTCTGGTTTATTGTTAGTAGCCTAATTTAGAAACATTAAGTAATAGGTGGGAGCTCAAATCAATCTATTGATAATGGGAAATGGCTTTCACACATGCTTCCCAACAACTCCTCAGTTGCTGAAATGGCGCGTTAAGGTGACTTCACTGGTTAATCTTAAGAGTGTCATCGATTTAGTAATCTCCTGTTTTTCCACAAATTAAGAGTAAATATCTTACCATCATTTACTGCTCCATCTGATATATCTTACCCTGGTCAACATCCAGTCATTGATTGGTTATTTAGTAGCTATTAGTTATGTGTGCAGTTAGTTTATTGAGTTTGTGTACTTTGTGTGTCTCGTTAGTTTAATAAACTAACCAATTCAAGTTTATTATGTGGTTTGTGTGTGTGAAATATACAGTAAATGAGTCAAGAACTGTGTAGTAACCTTAGATTGAGACTAAATGAATTCAATTTTTCCTTTTGGAAGGGTCGTGCTGCCGATGTGAATTTAATGTGAATAAAATTCAGATCTTTAATGTAAATACTGATTTCCTCTGATAGCCAGAAGCGGGTGTAAACCTGCTCGTTCTTACCAAAATTAGGGTCCTCTGCTATAATAATTTTCATGCCTTTTAAGCAATGAATAAGAGTGCAGGAAAGAGAACTGGCTTTCAAAGCTCTGATTAATGAGCAGCAATTTTTTGTGGTCTGACTTTTCTGTTTTCAATGCATTTTTGCATATCTTAGCCCTCCCTAATATCCTCTCAAACTGGTAGAGCCTGAACCTTTACTCTCTGAAAGTATTTGATGCTACAATTAACATGAGAGCATTTTCTTCAATTCAGTTAGCTATTGATTCAGTTGTTGATCATTCTGTTACTTCCACTCCTCACAGAAAGCAAGAGCACAACAAACACAATTATGTCTGGTTTAAGTGTTACACATAAAACAATGAGCGTAAAAATGCAAAAACACTCTGCAGAGCTGAGGGGAACTGCAGAGTAAGATGATCATTCTCTGTGTTCATCCTAACGAGTGACCACTTTCACACTACACATTGTAATTTGATCAATTGTTAATGGAAAAATATCAATTAGTGCAGCTTTAAAAGATACATACTTCAATGCAAGTTTAACTAGAGTACTTGTCTTAAGCAGAGGCAACTTTACAGCTCGTATACCTGTCGGAAGCGCTTGAGATGGAGGATCAGTATGTCAGGAAGAGTCCAGAGGCTCATCTTCACCATTCCCTGCTGAAGCTGCTTACAGTGGGGACACTTCCAGGCATCGTCTGGGGCAAGCTGGAATCAGTCAGTGAATCAATCAGTCAGTTATCAAATACAATTGTGAGCAGAAATGTAACATGTTTATTCATAGGTGTGGTCAGTTCCTGGTGTAATGGGACTGTTTCCTTCAAGTGAATTGTCCTTATATGGAAGAAGGTGTTATTAATCTATTTATTATTAACTCTGCTGATGGATGGATGGATCCATCCGTCCATCCATTGTCAACCGCTTATCCTGTGTACAGGGTTGCGGGTGGGCTGGAGCCAATCCAAGCTGACATCAGTCAAAAGGCGGAGTACACCGCAGGGCCACACATAGACAACCAATCACACTCAAACCTAAGGACAATTTAGAGTCACCAATCAACCTAGCCTGTATGTCTTTGGATGGTGGGAGGAAGCCAGAGCACCCGGAGAGAACCCACGCAGACACAGGGAGAACATGCAAACTCCACACAGAAAGGCCTGGAACGACCAAGGTTTTTTTTTTTTTACCATAATCATGCCTGATTAAATGAAGATTGTTTTAAAATATACCATCCGTCCATGTAATGAGTGCCTGAATATTATTTTCTTTCACTTCTTCTATTCTTTCTAAGTTTTTCAAGAGGGGAGTTGTTTCTACTTCACCACAACACAAAACATCAAAAGCAACGTTTGAGAACGTGGACTATTTACTGTCTTTTTCCTGCTACCTTCATGGATCTAGGGTCTAGGTCTATGGCTGACGTCTAAAAGACACAATCTCATTGTTTATACATATAAATGGATCGAACACAGGAGACTTGCTTTTAGCCCACTGTCTGCCTCCATCACCTATAACCTTATTATAATAAGAATCATCAAAAATGATTCTATTAAAATGAAATCACCCCGTGAACACAGCTTTTATGGTTATAACAATCAGTTGTCATTTAACCCGAGTCTAAACATTTCATGGCCAGTCATTGTTAAATGTTACATTTACTGTTGCTATGGCTACATGCAGCGCTCCAGGGACTAACAGCTACTAATTAATACTAACAGTGTGCTCCATTCAAAATTCTACACCACTCTACCAGAAAGGTTGTACAAGATGCCTAAATTCTGTTTTCTAAAACGAGATCATGAAATTAAATCGCCTAATGTTATATAAAAAATAATTGGCGAAGAAGAAAAACATGCTGTAGGCTTTTCAATCCTTTCCGTCGGCCGATGTCTACAACAATGAAACATCAGCTGTGGCGGTTTTTGGGGAGGGCCAATGGAGGGGCCAGTGTCTGCAGAGCGCCTCCTACAATAAAGACTTAGCCAGTAAAAAGCCAATTCTTTACCAACACTCCTGTTTAATAAGCATAAACACGCAAAACACTATGTTTTAATCTGCTCAGTCTGTCTTCCACCGCAGCTGTGTTTTGGTTTTACACAACCACAGCGCTGGTTCAGATAATAGCTTATTGTTACAAACAAGCTAAAGTGAAATCTCTGTCTTTAGTAACTGTTCAGCTTAGCCAGTTTGCCACTTACATTAAAATATGGCACATTAAAACAGACCACCCCTCCTTCTCTACCAGAAGCAGAGGGAGGAGGGACTGAGCTGTTCATTCTTTCTAAACTCGGTATGTTGATGTCAGGAATATGATTTATGACACCGTTTCCAGTGAGCTATTAGTGACTTTGCTGTTGTAAATCCTGTTGCTGCTCTAGAAACAACATTTAGTTAATAAAAAATTTTAAATTATTATTTTTTAATAATATATGAAATTATTTAGTAATAAATAGGACTGATAAGAGCATCGATAAAGAACTGAACCAATAAGGATTACCAATACAAGTGTGTCAATAAAATCCTAATGATCCCAACTCGAGAGAAAATGTCCAGCCCATCCTGTGTCCTGGTTTTAAAATCCGGCCCAATCGAATATGTAATTTAATTGCCCTGGTCTGCAGTGATCATATTAATATATCTTCCTTGTGACGAAATGTACACTAAACTGTATGCAGCATTGTAGACAATATTTGTCCTTGTACTCCATGTTTCCTTTGTTTTGAGTCCCCCTCCTTAAAGGGTAAATTATTATCATAACAATTTAATAATGCATTGCATTTAAACAACACTTTTCATACACAAAAAGCGATAACAGTAGCCTACTAGTCCTACCAGGCTGGACATGCAGTCTACCAAAATATGTATCCCCCCTTTATAATGCACAGATGATGGCCTAAGTATTTAATTTTGTGTATATTTCACATCAGGACTAATAACAGGGGTGAATGTGGGTGAAGTTTGTTGTTTCCTAACAAAAGTTATAGTGGGATACACAATCACACTAGTACACTAGAGTTTCTACTGTTCATTAAGCCTTACAAAGAAGTGTTGCATCAAAGAGTGCACTGTAACTTGAGCTAAAGTTAACAGGAATGTTTTTTTTGTATAATGTAATTTAATAAAACTATTACTAAGTTTCTGAAAAGATCCTGTTACTGAAACAAATAACTGTAAGTTACTAAAACATTACATTATAAACTAAACAAGGCATTTTGAAAGCTTGAACATTGCCTTTGTCTCTTTTGTCCCGGATTGAATGTGCCCCTCTGACAAAACAGCTGGCCCCCTTAATAAAACTGGTCTAGAACAGCCACTGAACATGTGCATGTGTTCTCGCGCAGACTTCACTCTGTAAAAAAACATTTTAGACTATTAACTTACTCACAAGCCGCGGTGGATATTTTATGCATGGACCAGGTAAAGCTGCAGGGAACACAGAGTACAGATGTTGGTTTCAGTTGTTTGATAGGCCAGGTCATTAATAAGCCGACGTGCGGCTCGCCTGCTGCCGTGATAACGGGTTCTCAGTCTTTTAAGGCAACTTTATAAAACATACTGCTGATGGAGAAAATGTAGTTTTCGGGGGCGAGAGAGACAGAGAGATGTTTACCTGAGGTGTAGGTGTGTGTAAGTGTGTCACGAGTGTGGGGAGAAGAGAACTCCGAGTCAGGTGCAAAGCATACTTAAATACAATAATAAGAATATTCGTGGTCATTAAAACCTGCTTTCACAGGGTGGTATAATGTGAAAATTTGAGATTTTTTTTTGCTGGGTGGGCGGTGGTTTTACAATCACGATGCTGGCTCAATGTCGTGATGTTTGTCAGCCATCGCCCATGGACGATGGCATCGTCTATCGGCCCAAACCTACTGTGAGCTGCACTTCATCTGAGCTGCTTATGTTAACGTATGGATTTGTGGTGAGATTTCTGCCTGATCAAAAGTGTGTAATTTACTTTCGGTTTCACATGCAGCATGCAGTCCCACTAGGGTGACCAGATGAGAATGGGTGAAATTAGGGAGGGGGGTGTGTCAATGAACATTAACACACGTGAAAATCAAAACACAACACTAAAATTAATTATTTTTGTTCATGAAGTCACCTGTCTGTCATTAGGAAAAACACAACAACTGTGGATATGTAGGTAAATCATGATCTTTTACCTAATTTTTATTTTATTCATGTTATCAGTGCACATCTGTCCGCGCGTGTCAGATCTCTCCGCTGTGCCGTGGCTGCCTGAAGCTACACTTTCCCTGTCCTCGCGACTGTAACTTCCACTAACCACAAAAAAACAAAAAGGGGAAAAGAGCACGAGAGCTGCTGGAGCAAGAGAACTACAACGATCAGTATTTAATGTTTAATTAGGCTATAATTAAAACTCATGTTAGGTCTAATTTTCCCAAATTACGAGCAGTTGTCCCAACTGCAGTCCGGTCTGTCCCGGATTTTTCGGGACGTCTGGTCACCCTAAGTACCACACTGCATCGGTCAAACGGTCTAAAGGGGATGACGTTACTAAAAGCGAATAAATAAGGTAATGCACAGCAGAGTATAGGGCAGGTAGACTTCTCAACAAATGATGACGTTAGTCTTATAATATTCCGCCTTTTTTCTGGACATGTCAGAGAACACATGATATGTGGGAGAGATTTTAAATGTGCAGAAGGTTTTGAACTTGAAAAGCTGCTGAAACATAGGCTATATTAAAGTCCAGGAGTTCATAATTAAATTAAAATGTAATAATTTATCAGTGAGATGACTAAATCATGACTCAGCAGGGATGATATTACATTTGAAAAGTTGATCTACAGGAGAAACAGGTCTGAAAGTAACACAGACAGAAGCTAAGACTTGAACAGAACTCAGGACAGACATGGGCAAAACACAGAAGTACACAGACCAGGAGTAAACACTTAAGACATGAACTAAGGCACAGGACTAGGAACACAGACATGGAACAAAAACCCAGACTCCGCAACAAGACACACCGACTGAAACCCAGACACGCTCAGGACAGGATCGTGACACTCGTCGCTTTTAGCCATGTAACCTGAGGGTTGGTGCTTCGTGTTCACGTCAACCAGAGGCTGCGATCAGCGCCACTTTTCTGTGGGATCAGAAGGTGTGTGCTCAGAGATCCTGCAAAATCCCTGGCCCTCAGCCAGGAACTTGCAGCCCTTCTAGAGGACGCCATCGAGCCTGTAGAAGGACATACACGGCTCAGTGGGTTCTCTTCAGTGTATTTTATCAATTCCAAAGAAGGATGGCGGGTTTCGCCCAATCCTGGACCTGAGGGGGCTGAACAAGATTTTAAAGGTGCTTCCATTCCGCATGTTACGCATGGCAGATGTCATCCAGTCAGTGACGCAGGTGGCCTGGTTTGTGTCGATAGACCTCAAGGATGCCTATTTTCACGTGCCTATTGCACCACACCACAGGAAGTTCCTGATGTTCACCTTTCGAGGGCAGGCTAACCAATTGAAGGTGGTGCCATTCGGTCTCTCACTGGCCCTTCGTATATTCACGAGCAGGGTTTTGAAATATGGCATTTTTCTCAGGCTGCTGGGCATGCTGACAGAAGCGTCCATGGGCATCAGAGTGTCCAGCCTTTTTTGCCAGGCCTTGGAGCCCTGGCGGGGAAAACTGTATCTCTGCCGAGTGGGTTCCTCTGGGAGTGATCCCCTCCCACAGGGAGGTTGTAGAGA